TGTCCAAAATTGGTATGGACGGATTTTAATGACTAAGGGCGGAAAATTTTCGTCTTGAAAAGAGCTTTCGCACTCTTTTTTGTTTTCGCACTTGTATATTTTTGCACAAAATGCAGGAATAATCGTTACAAATTTCTCGTATGTACATATACGAGTATGCGCTGATACTTCGGACTAAACGGATAACTTTCGGGCTCTGACTGTTACTAAACTATTTTTTCTTTAACGTAATGGATCATATAAAGATTGCCCTCATAAGTATTTGTACATTTTGGTACAAAACGCAGGAATCATCGTTTTCGAGAAAATTCCATTCTTTTTTATCTTTTGTCATTTCTTTATTACTTTTTAATTTGTTATTTTGTTGTAATTTTATTGTTTTATATATATATATATATATATATATATATATATATATATATATACTTTTTTTATAATTTTTTTATTAGGAAAAATATTTAATTTTTGCTTTAAGAACGCTCTAAACTTCAATTACATTATTATTTTTGCATTATCTGCTAATAAAAGTGACGACTCTTTTCCGCAAAATAGTACTTAATATATTTTATTTCGTTTATTTATTGCAAAATAATAAGTATTCAGTTTTAGCTCCTTCCATTATCTGTAGATATACTGTTCTTTCAGGTTTCTAAAGGTAAGCCACCTATAGTAGGTTATATTCCATATGGTTCTGCACCTTGGCTTAAGGATTATATCGGTGGTCCAAGTTATCCGACTGTTCGACCATACACACATGCTGCCATTGCAAAACCTGAAGGTTTGTGGCTGAGAACATGGAATGCTCTATATTACATTGTCGATAATCTGATACGACATTACTATTACTTCCCTATTATTCAACGACTTTCGGAGGAATATATAGGCCATGCAATCAGGCCATTACATGAAATAGAAAAAGACAGAATTAATATAGTACTAATTAATAGTCATTCTGCGTTCGAACCTGCGATTCCATTGCCGCCGAATACTCTGGAGATCGCAGGACTGAATGCCCAGGCCGTGCAACCAATTACCGGCGAAGTAGTCGTAACATATCCTGAGGTAAAAGAAATTATATTTCTTACTTGAGAAACACAATTTAACAAAAACTACGATAAGAATATTAACAAAAAAATTGTGTATACTAAAATGTAATTTTAACGAAACTCTGGTCAAATTATTGTCTATTATTATCTAGTATTCAAAGATTTTCAGACTAGGACTTATTATCTCTTGTTGCACAGATTGTTCCGCTATATTCAGGATATTGTAACAAATACTATTCTAATTAGCAAGATTTTGAATAAATAATTAGATCAAATATTAATGGCGATCTCATCGATTTCAAAGACTTTGATAAATATTATCAAGGACTCTGAGTAACTTTCAAAAGATTTTAGTCATTGTTATTCATTGTAATTATTATAAATCATTAACAAAAAAATTTAACAGAACAAACAGAATAATTTTTTACAACACCATATATATTTAAGGAGGTATTTTTATTTTGCTGAATTTTTCTGTCTTTACCCTCTTACACGCCAATCGATATCTGTTTCACGTGGGTTTTCAACGTCCTATAAGCGGTGAGTGAGGTGAAATGGTCCTCGCTTCGCGTGGAAAGTTAAAAACTTATCTAAAATTTTATTTTTAAGATACAATTATCTTATTAAAAAAGTGTGGGTTTCTGGAGAGTGGTGCAAGAAGAGGGACAAGACCTCTTCTCCGCTCATGAATCTACTACACTTCCACGTACATATTAATCATTTGTCTTGCAATACTAAGGATAGCTGTTATATTTTTTAAACATTTAAATTTATTTGGATAATAACTTTTTAACAGACAACGAGCGACAACTAAAACTTTTTGCAAGGTCTTTTCGGTGAGGTCTTTGAAATCGCCATTAATATTAACATTTACCAATTTTGTTTTCAATAAATCGATAATTTCTTGTACAATTCCAAATTTATAAGTTTTTGGATGCGCTTTTATTTCTTATACAATTTGCATATACTCTGTGTATATACATGTGTATTACACGTGTAAAAGAGACCGGGGCTCGTTGGCACAAGGGACAAGTTGGCAATGCGTTTATGAATTTATAGCAAAAGACACAATGGAAAAGTTATCACAAAATATCTCTTTTATGACACAGGTATTTTTCCCAAAGTTTTATTTAAATCAAACAAATATTACAATAGAAAAAGAGAAAAACTCTAATTCAAGAGGTGGCAAGCAAATTTTCGAGCGTTACAAAATATCGTATTACTGTTCTTCAGCTTGAGAAGAAAATCAAAGTGACGTATTATTAGTTGAAAGAAAAGTTTCTGTTACTATACGACATGTTATTTTGAAGAACAACAGTAATTTATTGTAATAAAATGACTGAAATCAAACGTAGGGGAGATCAAGGCTCGTTGGCACTGTTTTCACAATTTCGACATTTGAGTTTTTTAAACAACTAGTTATCATGATTAAACAGTACTAATATGATAAAGAGAACCTTTCTCTACATTTTCATACCAGGAACGACGGCAGTGGTTTCTGTATACTGTATATATTATATATAGTTTCTTTGTAATAAGTGAAATACGAACATTCTGCATTGTAGCCAACTTGACCCGATAGTAGGGTAAGTTGGCTATGCGACAAAAGTCCATGCTAAATTAATGAAAACGTAATAGAAACACAAAACAGGTAACAGATATGTACTTCTTGATAAAGGTTGTATCTTTTACAGTTATTTTGTAATGATCAAATAGCAAAATGCTGTTGCAGAAAAACAATTGTAAACTATTTTAGATATAACTTTCTTCAATATAAAAATATTAATATAAACATATATCTACCCGATAAAAACAGTCACGTCACATCCACGTCGAATCCACGTAATTTACGTGGACTACGTGGATGCAGATTTATCCACAAACTATCTACATGGATGCAAAGTTCTTTTCTCATCACTACATCGAAGTGTATTATCTCCGAAATATCAATGTAGATTTTCTGTGGATATATCTATTAAGAAATATGTACAGGGAATTTTTATTGACATTTTGAGGATAAAAGACTTCGATGTAGTGATGAAAAAAAAACGTTGCATCCATGTGGATAGTTTGTAGATAAATCTGCATCCACGTAATTTCTATTAAAGATTATAATTAATTAATGAAAGTATTATTATACTGCGTTTATATGGCAATGTCATAGCTTTTAATGGATAATCAATAGTGAATTATAATTTGATGCTGCAATTATACTTTGTATACTGCAGGTGGAATGAACTTATATTGAATAAGATTTTGTATGCAATTGCCATGTCGATTGACACATTTCAGCCCTAGTCGGTGCATCAGCAATTTATGTTTCTCGCATTATTTCTAAAGTTTTATTAACAGAATGTTATGCTCCCGAACATTTTGCAGAATGTTCGTATTTCACTTATTACAAAGAAACTATATATACAGTATACAGAAACGTTCCTGGTATAAAAATGTAGAGAAAGATTCTCTTTATCATATTAGTACTGTTTAATCATGATAACTAGTTGTTTAAAAACTCAAATGCCGAAATTGTGAAAACAGTGCCAACGAGCCTTGGTTTCCCCTACGTTTGATTTCAGTCATTTTATTACAATAAATTACTGTTGTTCCTCAAAATAACATGTCGTATAGTAACAGAAACGTTTCTTTTAACTAATAATACGTCACTTTGATTTACTTCTCAAGCTGAAGAACATTATTAATACGATATTTTGAAACGCTCGAAAATTTACTTAAATTGCCACCTCTTGAATCAGAGTTTTTTCTTTTTTTATTGTAATACTTGTTTGATTTAAATAAAACTTTGGGAAAAGTACCTATATCATAAAAAAGATATTTTGTGACATTTTGTGATATTTTGTAACTTTTCCATTGTTTCTTTCGCTATAAATACATAAACGGAACGCATTGCCAACTTACTTCTTGTGCCAACGAGCTTCGGTCTCCTCTATTTAGGGATGGGGTATGTTGGCTCATATCAAGGCACGCTTAGCTTGACTTGTTACCGCGCGCGTGAGACCTGTGTAAGTATGTAATTTGCTACCTACAATGCTGATAGAAGCTATAGATATATGTTTATATAAATATTTTTATATTAAAGAAAGCTACATCTAAAATAGAGTTTACAATTGATTTTCTGCAACAGCATTTTGCTATTTAATTATTACAAAATAACCTTAAAAGATACAATCTTCATCAAGAAGTACATGTATGTTACTCGTTTTGTGTTTCTATTACGTTTTCATTAATTTAACATAAACTTTTGTCGCATAGCCAACTTACCCTACTATCGGGGCAAGTTGGCTGCAATGCAGCATGTTTGTATTTCACTTATTACAAAGAAACTATACAGTATACAAGGGCGTTCCTGGCATGAAAATGTAGAGACAGGTTCTTTTGCTTCCTCATAGAGGAAGCTTTGTTTTCGTGAATTTCGTATATGAACCTTTGATTGCGTATAAAGTTGGGTCTAGTCAACCAAATTTAAATGAATTATATATGAAATAGGGGTAGAAAAAACCAAAGAAAAGATTGTTTTTTGAGTTTTTGACGCTAATATGTTCAGAGTGTTCTAAAATGTCAAAATATTGCATTAAAATCGCATGTCCGTATGTATGTATGTATGTATGTATGTATGTATGTGTGTATGTGCAGATTTGATGTCCGTGATTGCTCTAACTTCCGTAAATATTGAGATATCGGGCTGTTTTTTTTTTAATCTATAAAGTATCATTCAAGGAAGGTTGGTATTGAATTTGGCGATGATCGGTAAAGGGGTTCTTTTTTAAAAAAATTTTGTATTTTTTT